CCAAGGCTCTCTCCTGATCCTCTGACCTGGGGAGGGTGGCCTATCTCACTAGCTTGGGAAGCCCTGATTTCCAACGTTTCTGCACACCTGTCTTCATTCTCTTCTGGTTTGGGTCTCTTCTGGTCCTTTCCCTCATCAGTGGTCTCACTGTTGCTCTGGCTGTCATTTGGTTCCTCAACCTTTGGTCCACAGGGCTCTTGCTGCCCCTCACTCCTCGATCCACTTGAGCTAAGGTTATGTGACACTGGGGAAGCTGGTGTCTCTCCACTGGCACATTCCACTTGGGAACAGGAGGGTGACTCTTGAGTGGTCAAGCTGTCTGCAGCAAGGACAGCATTAGTGTGAGAGTCTGGCAGGAGCACATTAGTGCCACTGTCTTCAACAAGCACATAAGTGGCAAAGTCTGGAAGGAGGAGGTCACTGGGAGAATCTTGAGGAAGCACACCAGTGGTATGGTCATCAGGCTGGTTCTCTGACTCTATCTTCTCTTGGAGCTCAACCTTACTAAACTTTGTTTTAAGGCTTACCTCCTCTGGATCTTGAGCAACCAACACTGTAGATGGTGAGGGGCTTTTCCTAGCACCTGGATATCCTGATCTCCTCAGATCCACATAAATGGCTGGTTTGTTGGCTAGCCCACTGGGACTTAAGACAACTTTCCAAGCAGGGACCTTCTTGGCCTCCATCACCTCTGTGGCCCCTTCAGACCTTGGAGTTTGGGACCTGAGCTCCATCTTCAGTGTTGCTACCATGTCTGGTGAGGCCTGACCCCCATTCTCCTCTTTTAGCTCATTACTGGCCATTGCTAAACTTGGACTTGGTTCCAGGCTGTCTTTCTTGGCCCCCATAACAGTCTTGCTGTGCAGGGTTCTGTTTGGGAGACTGAGAATGGAGGCCTGAGAAGGTGATCTGCCCTCCTGTCTTGATAAAGACGTCTCTGAGGACTGATGGCCATCACCAGGTGAAGTCCCTCCCAGGGCCTGCTGGATTTGCTCACATATGGGTGAGGGAACAGGCAGGGGACTCCCTGAAGTGGGATCAGACTTTTCAGTTATACCCTTCTCTCCTGGATGGGGCTGAGGTAGTTCCTCCAAGAACTTGTAAAATTTGGCTTTTGATGGGGCCCCAGGTACAAAGGTGGCTGAGCATGGAAAGGGAGACTGGGGAAAAGGCAAGTGTTGAACTTCATGTAGTTGGAGATCTATGGGCTCAACAGTTTGGAGAGGTAGGTCCCACTTATGCCTCACTCGAAAACTTATGATGTGTGTTTCCAGCTTCTGCTGAGTGTTAGGACAAAGGAAGGACAGCTCATGGGAGGTGTTTACACAGGGCTTCCGATCCTTCAAGGGTGCTAGATTTCTGATAGCCATGTGGGGTTGGGACTTGGGAAAAGCATGGCTGGCCATAAACCAGGATCGACACACAGTCACAGGGATCAGACCTTTACTGATCTGTCCCAATTTCCTGTGCAAATGAACCTTTAAAGTTTTTTCTAGATATTTCTTATCTGGGCCCCTGGCTAAGTATTTTCCTGGATCACCCTCCAAGGCCCCTATCAAGGGTCTTCCAAACTCCTTCTCAGAGTTGGTTCCCAGAACCTTCACTGGGAACCTAGCTGAGATCCTGGAGAGACCTGTTGGCATCCTCTTCAGACACTGCCATAGACCCTTACCAAAGTTCTTCTCTAGTTGGAATCTTGCTTGATACTTCCTGTGGTATCTGGACCTGGTCCTCCATGTAGCTTTGCTGCTTTTGCCTTTAAACACAAAGGGCCTTGAGAGCCCCTGCTCTCTCTGTGCCTGACTCACCCCCAGGGATTCATCCTGAGGCCACCTCAGTTCCAGGGACAGCTGAACCTTGTGGGGCAAGCTGCTTTGCTGTTTATCCCTGCTGAGCTTCCTCTGAAGCTGTGGCTTCTGGATATTAAAGATGGAAAAGTCCCCTTGAAAGGTGGAACCTGATCTGTGGGACTGGGAGGCCTGGTGGTCCTCCAGAAGCTTGGGAGGGACTTGGCTAAAG